CACGACACACACTCCAATCCACGGCAGCAGGCACACACACACACACACACAGCCCTGCCGCAGCACCAACACACAGATGGAAGAGGGAGATGCAAAAAGGAGCGGCACACAAGGCTCCACCGCATGCACATACGGCGAAAGCGGTCCGTCGTGACTGCACCCCTCACGGAGGGTACACGCATACACACAAGAAGAGGTGCAGCGCACACAGCAACACAAAAGCAAAGTAACAATAAAAAAAGGAGATCCCCGCAAAACATGTGGATTGTTGGTCCACAGGAAGTGCAGCCAATATCCATCACAAAAACAGTTCAGTTGCCCTCGGCCTTCGTTCATATTCAGCGCACTCCACTTCATGCAGGCACGGCAAATACTGCATCAGCAGCCGCACGCTCAAAAATAAGCGCGGGAATGGAATAAAGCAGTCAACCGTTTATTTGTGTTTCTGTTTGAATGTTGGCAGATGTCTGCATGCGTTTTGTTTTTTCTTTGCGGAGGGTAAACCTTCATGCCTGGATCGTGTGTTGGGATTTCTGCAGGGTACACAATTTGTTTTCTTTCCTCTTGTGAATGTTGCTTGTGTTGGTGCAGCCAAGAATTCGGTTTGTGTTGTTCCTGCCTTTCGCCGGTAAAGTGTTGCAATAGATGCTTTTGTTTTCCTTTTGTTGCTGTGGCACCTGATTCCTCACCGTTTATTGCGGTGGAAATGAAAATATTTGAGTGGACTCCCACACACCAGAACGCACCTTCGCTCCTATTTATTGCTGCATGGAAGGGCATGCGTGTTTGGTGGTGTCTCGTCCATATACTTTGTGGGTGCACATTCCCCTGCAGGCTGAGGGCGGGATGACGCTCCGTCGCGGTGCACTTCCGTCGCATGCCGCCCACTGTGATTCATCATGCATCGCCTCCTCACACATATTCCGTGGTGCCACACCGCTGATATTATTGCAGCCACTGTGATCCCGCATACTTCACGCATTTGATTTTGCCACAATACATCCGCTCGTGTGGCCGCCGCATCCAAACAGCGGTGCCCAACACCGTGAGCGGTAGTCCACATCCTTGCATGTCCCAACGCAGTGGTTTTTGACCGTCAACCAGGCGCCAGACAACAACAGAGTCTTGTGCTGGCAGTACAACACACGGAGCTGCAGTGAATGGCTCGGGCGGCGACGCATCTTTTCGTCGCAAAGCAGTGAAAAGGAGTCGGGCAAAATAATGCCGGCTGCACTCACGACACCACATCCACAGCCAAAGCATGCGACGTGATGTGTGTTTCACTGGTGCTGTGAAATGCCTGCAGACGACGTCACTAGTGGAGGCATGCCACCCATGATCAGCGGACAGACAATAATCGGCATGGGAGGCCACAAGAGGCAGCAACGACGCCAGCAGCAGGAGCAGCTCTCTCTCTCTCTTTGTTGCCTCCGAGAAGTAAATATTCCACCAGCCACAGGCGACTGTGCCATCGTGACACTCCATGCACGTCGTGGCTGCGTCAACACATCCTGTTCCCTGCTGCGCCTCAAAAGATGCCTCACTCCGTCCACTAAGTGCATCGATGCGGGCCGTGCCTCGGCTGTTCGTGAGGACCACAACGATGTGAGGGTCACCGAGTCGCAGCATGTTTGTTGTGGCGTTGTTGTATGGCACCTGCACACACACACGCAGCGCCTGCATCCCTCCCTTTTGTGTCCGTCCTCTGCCGGAGTGGCCACACACACGGGCAGCAGCAAAATCATTTCACCCTCGACGATCCAAAGTCAACACCGACATCCCTCGCGACGCAAAAAGATCTCAATTGCCAGCACGAGCTTCCTGCCGCTCTGCCATCGACGCTAAAACACGGCACAGTGCACGCACTTATTTTCCTCGTGTGCAGTCAGCCGTTTGCTTCACACATTCTTCGATGGGCTGACGCCCACAAAAGCACGCCACAAAAGGCCACTGTGATCGCACACGCTCTTGCGATGAGCGTCGGTGTGTGCATGGATCCGACTGCTCACACGTGCTGGCAGGCAGCCTGCGGCCGGTGCCCTCGTGCCAGTTCATCGGCTCCAGCACGGAAAAGAGAAAACGGCCATTTCCCGATGCACTTATTCCCACCAGCAGCACCAACACGCTGGTCGCCAGCCGTCATTCCTCAGCACATCCAGGAATGCTGAAAAGTGACGTGGAACTGTCAGCCAGCAATGCCACAATCCCGCACACATTTCGGCTCCACCAGAGAAGACACACAAATCACAAACAACACCCTCCACATGCCATCCGAACATCATTCCAACACACCGCGACACGCCAAACAGAAGTATTCGTCGCTCCAATGCACCTCCCCACACAATCACATAGTCCACGCACCACGCACGGCAGCAGCTCACACCCGTCAAACAAATGTTCTTCGGATCAGTGTTACCCACGTGCTGCGGTGGGAAGTAAACAAAAGAGACGAGCTGCCAAACCCCAAAAGAGTGCCACGAATGGCCGCAACCCAAAGGAACGCAGCCACTCAAATGAATTCAGTTCTAATGCCCTCAACCCTCCACCTTCTCCCACAAAAGCCCCCAAAATTAAAATCAAATGCACTGTTAAATAAAGCCGCCGTGCAACACCAAACAAAGCCGCAGTGCCTCCTGCTGCCATCCGGGCCGTTGTTGTCGCCTTCACGGGGACAGACGCCCATTGGCTATTTAAAACGACGTGCTACACCTGCAACGCATCTCCTGCGCTTTGAGGCGCACGTGCCTCACTATCACCAGAGACGCCCACGCACCGTCGGTACGCACCACATTGTGAAAGAAAAAAGAATACACCAGAGTGAAAACGAGGCACCCGCTGGCAATCGCGTCGCAGGCATCATCACAGGCAGCACCAAAACCGCTGCAGTCAACTGTGGGGTAACGTGCACCAACTGCCGCATGGCTTATTTGGAATAAAAAACGCGGTGGCTTTACAAGAATACGAGTAGCTGCCACTTCCTCAGCAGGATAAACAATATGAAAACAAAAACAAATATTCAGGCATATGCAGTCAAAGAATGCCGCCAATCAAAAAGGCAGAATGGGTGCACTCAACCACAACACAAGTAAAACATAAAACAAAAACCAAAAAGCCGAAGCGTGGGACGACCAGCGCACACACTCTCACTGCTCTCGTAAAGCAAAACACACACACAGGGGGAGAGAGAGAGAGAGAGAGAGAGGTCGCCCACTCAATGCAATAAAAACAAAACAGAAACAGTTACGGTGCTCCGCCCATGCAGCCAGGCAGGACGGCAGCGGTGCGTGTCGTGCAAAAGAGAGCACCAACGGGCCTGCATGGGTGTGCATGCATATATACAATGGGCACATTATGTGTGTGCTTCGTGGGATGAGGTGAGGGCGAGAGTCCATGCAGGGGGACACACACAGAGAGAGTGAGTGAAAGGCGAGTGTGTGTGCGGGCGGTGCACGGCTCTCTCTCCCTCACTCTCACGCGGCCACCACCGCAGCCGCAGCCGCACACACAACAAGAAGAAGCAAAAGAGGGGAGGTGGTGTGCGAGACAGCGCTGGTGCTGCCGTCACTGTCGTCTGTTGAAGCGGTGGCATTTGTACCAACGGCAGTTTCGTTTTTTGCGGGTTCTTCGCTGTTTTTCGCAGCATTTTCATGCTGTTGATGTTGTTGTTGTTGTTGTTGCTCTTGTTCCTTTCCTTGTTTTATGCTGTCTTCGTGCTCTTCTTCCTGCTGTTCCTGTTTTTTTTTTTGCTGATCTCGTATTTCTTCTTGTAGATGTTCTCCTTCCCGTTCCTCTTCGTGTAGATGCTCTCGTTGTTCCAGGTCTTCTTCTGATCGTTGTTTTTCTTCTTCTTTGTCTTGCTGCACTTGAATTCGTTCGGATTCGTGTTGTTCATTTATTATTTGGTTATGGGTGTTCTTTTCTTGCGTTTCCAGTTCCTTTTCATGTGGTACT